ACACACACACACACACACACACACACACACACACACACACACACACACACACACACACACACATGGTAACCCCTCGGCAGTATACGCCTTTGCATTCCATAGATGCAAAAAATGCATTTAAAAAAGAAGCTGGTCATTATTGATGAACTCAGTAGTTCCTTTCAGCGGCAGTCATGTGTCAGATATGTGGGCAGCAGATTTTCTCGATAAATATGACCAGTCACTGCAATACGCTCAAGAACATGTGCAAGGGGTTTGTTTGAATCTTTACAAATCAGTTCTGTACGAAACACTTGCCAAGGGGAATCTATGCCTAGGTTTTGTCAAATTTTTATTGAAAATCCCAGTGCTGCCTGTTCAGTCAGCTTAGCAGTCCCATATTAGTGATATAATTACCGAGCTGGAGCCACACATTTGGCGCAGCCCTTCCGGGCTTTTCGCTTCTTATTTACTTATTATGACAACTCTTCGATGCATCTGTCCTGCATTCTCGCAAGCTGCCGAACGCTCGTTTACTTCCTGCTGGACATCACTCATCAAAACTTCGGCAACGTGATCAGCATTCTCTTATCGTCGAATTTTGCTGATTCGAGTAGTCGGAGTAATATCACTGTTGTTGCGCATTTGTCGTTTGGAGTTTGATTGCTGATATGATCACAAAGAAATACTCCAAGCATCGTACGCTCTTAACCTCTACATAATGATTGGAATTTAATCAGTGAATAATAATGTCCTTTTAGAATGACCGCTCGACTGCTGCTGCAGAGGACAGATCAAAAACCGATAAGTCCAATAGAAGTAGCGAATGGATGTTGCCGGAGGGGTGTGTTTTTGAATGCTCACACTTGATTCATTTTATTTTCTATCTTAAATTGTTGCACTTTTTGTTCATTCGACGGCTAAACTTTTCAGGGGTACGATTCCGGGAACATACGTTTTCGAACAAAACAATCCTTATCTTCATGAGGCCAATGCATTTGAGAATGGACTGCAGGCGCTGAGAGACGGTCTGTTGGCCAAGGCTATTCTTTATTTTGAAGCTGCCGTGCAACAGAACAGCCAGCATTTTGAAGTTTGTCTTGTTCGAAAGTCTGATTTGCAAGCGGAGCGGTGATGTGCGAGTTGTGCATGTTGATTTTTATGCGTTTTGCGCTACGTGACAGCAGCACAAAGCGCATATTGTCACGGGGTTGTCTGTGTGTGTTTGTGTGTATGTGTCCGAGATTTTTTCCCACATTTTCAACTCGCGAATCACAAAAGCTAGATGGCTGAAATTTTAGTAGAGTGTTTCCCGTCAACGTGTGACTCCTCAAATTTAAATTCAGCCTTCTCTTGCCCGACGAAAGTTTTGGTGGAGAATATTATTATCTTAGAAAACAGGAGGGCTGTGAGGCTGAAGTTTTAGGAGGATATTTTTTGTCCGTGCAGTTTAAAAGCTCAAATTTAGTTCCCAACTATGCAGAGTTCTTACGTACGACCACGTGAAAATTTTGAGTGAAAGTCTAGGTCGGAAGCTGGAAAACTGGGAAGTTGAAATTTGGAACGATGTTCTCCATCCATGTTTTCAAATTCAGTTTTCATGTACAGGCACATGAAATTTTTAGTGGGAAATTCCTCACCTTATGAGCCAGACTGCATATCGACTATTTTTCCGCACACGAAAGTGTAAAGCAGTTATATTTTTTGTAGGCAAACGTCCGCTGAACGGAATTGTGCAAAACGCGTGATCGCACCGACTGTCCTTGTGCACCGCCATTTATTTCTAATGAATTTGTTTTGCTTTTATAAAATTTACTTGAGCAGGCTTGGTCGTTACTCGGGAAATGCCAGACTCAAAACGAGAACGACGCGCAGGCCACTGCCGCTTATGAAACCGCCATGGTGCTGCAACCGAACAATCAAGAGGTGATGTTTCAAACACTTCATAAGCAAAAAGCTGCTGCAAAATACTTCTTTAAATGTAGTGGAGACAGAAGGTCTCCTCTAAAGCTAAAATTTTTAAATATCACAACCACTGCGATGAAAAATAATGGAATCTGTTTAGGTAAAGCTGGCAGTTGCAGCGTTATGTATCAATAAAGCTATGGAAGAAAAAGCGCTGGATATACTGGAGCAGTGGGTCAAGTCTCATCCGATGGCCCACTTGATTATGTCAAAACGAGAAGCTGTTCCCGAAAATTCATTTGAATCGCTTCTAACTCGTGCAAAAAAGGTTTTCTGATTTATGAGTTTATTGAAAATAGGCATTTAAAAGTAAATAATTAGAGCGGTTTATTTGTGGAATCCTCGTAATCAACGAATTTCTTTAAGGGACTAATTTTTTTCAGCTTACACTGCTGCTTGCAGTGAAATTGCGTCCTTCCTTGGCATAGGGCATGATATCCGTAATTTTGCATTGATTATAGGTGGAACATCTTATTCGGGAATTATCTGCCAAATCGGCAGCCATGGACAGATCGGTGTTTCATAATGCGCTGAGTCTCGTCTTTCATATTACCAATGAGTATGATCGGGCTGCTGAAGAAATAAGGGCCGCAATCGCCTGTAATCCTGAGGTTCGCTGGGTTTTGTCATTTTTGCTTCTGTAAATTAAAATTATTGCAATTCATTTGGTACTAAGCATTTGGTGAAAACGCTGTGCTGTGGAAAAAACGAATGCAGAGAAGAAAGAAGAGGCGGTGTAAGATGTACCGCTTTTTATTTTTGATTGCTGATAAGCTTGTCCACGATGGGCGTGAAGTTAGTGTAAAATTCAGCCGGAAGGGCGCATTAGTATCGTATATTGGAGACATGAAATTTCAAAGAAAAAGTGTACGAGTGACGTAGAAATGCCTGAAATAATGGTTGCAGTGTTAAAAAGATTATGCTTTAAAAAGTGAGTTGAGACGGGATTTTTTATATTGGGAGGGAGAAGGGTTGGTAGTGGCGAGTTTCGATAGTGGAGAAGAGGGCGCGGGGCATAACATAAGGATGCTACTTTATGTATCGGATACGGCAGTGGAGTTGAATAGTTTGTTCAGCTCGAAAAAATATTGCCATTTGATTAGGTTTTGTCGCATTTCGTGGTGTAAGTGGAGCAATAGCTTCAAAATTTTGTAGGATTCTGTGCTGTGGAATCGTCTGGGAGCAACATTGGCTAATGGAGCGCATGCTGCTGAAGCTGTCGATGCGTATGGGAAAGCCCTGAGAATATGCCCAGGTTATACTCGTGCCCGATACAATTTGGGAATCGCTTGCACCCATTTGAAAAATTACAGGTATGTGCGCGGCAGATTTAAACCAAACACATTTTAACATGGCTCTGACTGGGATCTTCTAGCCTCGTTAATGCTTAGTTTTTGGTTTTTGGGGCTATGGGCTGGAGGGTTTTACAAGTGCTGGGCTGGAATTACATTTAGCGCTTCTTGGTATATGATGAGAGTAGGAAAATAAAGCATAGTCATTAACGGCTGACCACCAGCGGCTCATATGGCTGATCAAGTCATATAGTGCATCTGCTGGATCTCTCAACACTCTCGAACTTTCAAACCACATTATTGTTCTACTACAGAATGCATGCAGCTTCAGTACACTTTGTTGTTGCCTGTTTCGTTGAGGGGATTTCTATTTGTGTTTGGTCTTGAGGCTGAAGAATGGCTGGTAAGGTGGTGGGAAAAGTGATCATTTTCTTTGGAAGGGGGCAGTCAGCTGATGCTCGGACGAGCTGTTCCGCTGTTCATTGCCACCCATCCCTCACCCCACGCTCCTCACCGCCAGCATTATGTTTCAATTTCTTGTCGAAAGCGGTACGTTACAGCGCTGTTTAATTCTAATATCTTTTTCTGAGTGTAGCTCCTCACAGTGAATAATAGCCTCAGCAAATTGTTGCCGGCAAACACTGACCGAAAACTAGCCAAGACGCTGCAGATATGATGAAATCGACACACGCATTACTCCCCCAGCAACATAGACATCGGGCTAATGGGATCGCTTGTTATAGGCAACCAATAGCTTTTCCCAGTATTTTGCCATTTTTTGGTCTTCCTTTTTTTAGATTTATTTTCTCCGGGATTGCGGAGACGTGAGAATAAACCTTATCTCTCGTGCAGCCACATGGGATTTGGATAGAATTGAACACTCCGTTTTAAGGCGAAATGATCGTTTCTAATAGACTTTTAATTTTCTTTTTAATGGATTGATGAGTGGTAGAGAGATCATATAGTTCTCAGTGTTTGTTATTTCTTGACGAATGGAACTCTTCCGTCCATATTTTTTCCTCCTTTACGGAATCCTAAAATAGATGCTGCGGATGAAGGGACTGAATTAGCGGAGTAGAGATTTCTAATACTTACATCTGTTATGAAATCACAGGTTATTAAAAGAAGATGTAGTTGAAGTTATAGTCAATAATTTTCAGTAATCTCTTACTTCGTCTGAACAAACTGCCCAGACAAAATCAAACTAGAAAAAAGTACTTTATTCCTTCTAATAAATCAGTGCTTTTTTCTCGTTGAGCTACTTGCAGTAATTAATTCTTTGCTCTTTTCCCTTTTGTTTGGTCTTTACTATGCCTTGATTCAGACCGTACTTGTATTGCCGTTAAAGGAACCCTGACAGCAGAATGACCTTCTGCAGAGAACAGTTTGAATCGTTCTGGTGCTTGAGGTGTGAATGATGTTTTTAGATAAGTCTTTCTTGACATGCACAAGTACTGAACGAGGAGATTTTAGGACCCAGGTAAGCCGTCCCGTAAGGACCATTAAGGTGGTGGCAATTACGTACTGTTCTAATTAAGCCAAATGAACCTTGCCCAGGGGGGAAACCGATCCAGAAGGATGGAGTTGAAGGGGGACGCTGATAGTCAAGGAACTGGATTCAGGAGAATGGTACTGATTGCTGAGCCATAATCGGACGAGACGGGACTTCAAAAGCAGTTAGCTCTACTTGTATACTAATCGTCGTCCAGATCCCAGTCGTAGGAGGAGTTCCCATCTTTGTGCCGGGACGGGCCGCTGGCTGTTACTAAGGCGGTTTTGCAAAAGCAGAAAATAGAACAATACACAAATCAGGTCCTATGAAGAATATCTACAAAAATAAAACTGGCAAGATTTAAAATGAGAAGTGGGGATTGGCGTTGACAAAGAAAGGAAATAAGAAACCGGAAATGGGGATGATTGAGAAAAACTAAATAGAAAAAATGTGAAAATAATTAATTGTTATTATAGGAATTGATATTGCGGCTTCTTCGTTAGGAAAAATAAAACTTGTATTTACACATAGTTTTGCTTCCATTTTGAAGGTTTCTATTTGACTGGATTTCACCGAACTCCGGGACGATTACACTGAAGTCATAGAGAGGTCCTATCGAACGCTGCTGTTACAAAGCACAGCTCCCTCGGTATATATGCAGCATAAAACGCCAAAAAATTATCTTTTTTAGTATTACAATATGTTGAAAAGTTCTCAGTGTGTGACACAATCTTCGAAAGGATGCCAATGCTGCCTTGCCTGTTAAGGAAGAAAATAAGGGACTGTCCGACTGAGTAAGCTATTTTTGATGGCAATGAAGTTTTGCGTTCGGAGTGTCTCTGCTGATGGCATGGGTAAAGCAATAACTATGTCAGTTCTTTATAAATGTGACTAATCTGGAAGGACTGTATGCTAAGAAGCAGTAGCGAAGTTGTAATTTCCGTTTTGTCCTGTAATTATGAACAGATGGCATGATTGGTAAAGAGGCCTCGTCATTATACCACTGAAATATTACATGTTGTGGTGGTTAGCAGGTGGTCTAAATTGAAATTATTGCCTAAATTGGAATTAGTGCTGGAAATGGAGGTTTCTTTTTTTCAGAGAAGCGATTGGGCATTTTATAACGGCCCTCGAGCTGCAGCAGCATTGTGGTTCCATTTCCTCATCCACAGTTTGGAAGTCTCTGAGCGCAGCTGTCCTTCGGAGCGATTTGGCTAACGTCTACGATCTGCTGGCAGCTGCCAATGCGCACAATTTATCAAAATTTGTTCAGTTAATCAATGAAGTTCTGCCTAACGGGTTGCGGAGATCCGCCGACGGCGACAACGACGAAGCGTAACGGACGCCACTGGCCTTGTTTTGTTGCTTCCAGAAACTGAAATTGTTTTTCTATTAAGCTTTTTAGAATGCATTTCATTACTGCATTTACAGCCGTGAAGTTGTGTTTTTTTGAATTTTTTGCCATTGTTTTATGCAATCCGTTGTTGTCAGAGCAGTCAGTGATTCCATTCATTGATAAGTCCAAGAAGAATACGGACAGTTCCATCTCATCCGTCGACGCTACATCCGTTGATTTGCCGGAAAATTGGGATTTTCAAACCCCACCGTCCTATGAGATAGTTAATAGTGTAGTGCGCGCTCCGAATGTGTTCCATGAAGTTGAGGAAAAAGTTGTTGCCGCTTCAGAGGAGAGCAAAAGCAAATTGCAGGACAGTGAGAAACATATTGTGCATGAGATACCAGATGTCTTGGAAAAAACTCATACAGAAAAAGAAGACTTTATCTTAGATTTCAAGGCGTTTGCAGGCAACAATGCAACCAAGTGTAATTCTTCGTGTGCGTCTGACCCAATTTCTACCTACACTCCAGAGACTTCAAGTTTTTTGAGCACATTACGTGCAGAATTTTCAACATCAGCTAGTAATGAAAGCACTGGAAACAAAGAAAAACTTGTTGCGAAAGCTCGGCCAGCCGTAGATGATCTTTTTGAACTTCTGAGCACTATGACTGTTGTCTTAAGAACTGCTAGGCCTCCTGAGATCCACAGCACATCCAATCCATCTTCGTTAATTAATGTGACCGATGAAAATACAAACACTGAACTCTTCGATGAAGACGAACTGGAGTCGCCTGTTAGCGAAAAAGTATCAGAAGAAGCGTACCAAACAACAGATGTCAATGAAAAATTCGAAGGAGCAGTAAGTGGTGAGGGACAGCCCATTTCCGAGATTACTGATGCCGGGGAGGAGCCGGGGGATGCTGTAAAGGCGAAGGCAAATCCAAAGTTGGACCCACAGGTGATACTAAGCTCAGAGTTCGCGAAGAATGGTCTTAAGGAAGAGGAAGGAACGCAGGTGGTCCATGGATGCGGTGTTGTGAAGGAGTATTCAGAGCAGCGTCAGACGACATCGGAGTGTAGCAAGCTGCTGGATGAGTCGAAAAAGCAAAAACCTATCGATGATAAATTTCTGCATGAGAAGTACAGTGAGGAAGACGAAATCGACGAGAAACCCCTGGTACGGGGGCATTTCGAGCGAACGCTGTGGGAGAAACTGATTGCTGGCCTAAAGTGCTCACACAGAGACTGCGGAGAAGCGCTCAGACCAACAAATAATGTACCGCGCTACTTAATGCAGCCGTCGATTAGTCGGGCCAGGAAACATAGCAGTGGCGGTCACCCAGTGCAATAGTCTGGGGCACTCGGCTCAGTTGGTCTGTTCGGCCATTTTTTTCGAAATTGGACATATCGACTGAGCGAGTTGCTGGCTGAGAAGTGCAGTAACACAGTGCCCTTATTCAGGCAGAAAACCAAAAGTACTCTTGTCCAAATGAAAATAGAAAGTGCATCTCTGGAGAATTTGTTTCAGTGCTTTTTCAAGGGATGCTGTTTTGTGAAACCCGGCATGAGTTAGTCCTTTCGCACCCACTGAGGAACATTTTTAGTGATAGCTTGAAAGCGGAAAGAGTAGTCGGTTCACTACAGCTGTTCATTAAAGTCATCCTGGCCAAGAATGAGGCTCAGTAAATGCAGAGCCCCGGAATCACTGATTGAACATTTAATGCTCATGCAAGTTTTCGCGTCTTGCTCCTCTTTGCAGTGTTTCACTTGTTCCTGCGCTCAGTGAGTGGATTATGTTGGTCGTATCTTGTTTCCAGATGATATAAATAGTTCATGTCTCATCACGAGTTATCAGAAAGCTGCTCGAACACATGTACGATTCAGGAATGCTTGGTTCTTAGCAACTTTTCCACTTACAAGCCCACTGACTGGAGTATTCCAGTGCAGCTCGGTATCCCACACTTTTCATTCATAGCATGTCTTTCCGCACTTTAAATGTGGCGACGGTTTGCTCAGCCAGTGATGCGCTTTTGCTTATTTCTGTAATCCCTGCAGCCACAACTCCCCAGCAGTTGTGCATGAGTGAGTGGACTTAGAGTATACGAGGGTGCCGGGCCACGAGTGCTGCGGAGAAACGCTCTGCACCAGCAGTGCAGTCTTTTCAAGTGACGGATGCCTCAAGCATTCGCGAAAAATAAGGAGTCTTCCGAGAAAAGCGTGTGCTCTTGTTATCCTTATTGCTTGGAGAGCTTTCTACAGAGCTCTTCCGATTGGTCGGTCAGTTTCAGTTTCGAAAAGCTGAAAATTCTGATTTTCGACTAGGATGGGGACAGAAGAAGGGGGAGATCCCGCTGAGAGTGCTGTCTGATAACTTTGAGCTGTAGTGGTGGTGGAACACATAAAGTTGCTCTCAGTCATCTCGTTCGGCGGCGGAGGTCGATGAACCCACTCGGTGAAGGACGTTCCTGCCACGTTTCGCATCGTAGTGCTACCCTGTCCCTCACCACTTGTCCACTTCGTTTTCCAGTGCATTTATCCACATCGGATGGTACACTCTTTTCAAATTCACTGTCAGTGCTGTGTGAAGTAAGGTTCGTACGCTCGGCGAGCTCCTTTGAAGTGCAGGTCAATAGAATTATTGACGGTCTGCGATGGGAGTTTGCAACAAAAGAAGAATTCAGTTCATCCGCAACGTCACAAGCGGTGCCCAGCGAGAGGTCGAAGGTCACCTCTATTCTATTGCCCTTGGACATCAAGATGTCCTCGATCGTTGTTTTCAAACAAGCGCTTGTTACTTGGCTGCTACAAACATATTGCTCTTTTTCCTGTAGTCTTCATTAGCAGAAGTGCTTAATTATTTTGCAACTGCCTTCATCACTGTTTGTTAGGACCTCGAAAATATTTTAATAAATTAGTGTCAAAGTCAAAACTCCCTCGTATTCACTTTCTGTGAGAAGGTACTCGGAAGTAGCCTAGCGGCTGTGGTGCTGGTGGCTCCCACTTCTGAGAGTTGCCAGAAGTAAGCTGATGGCAGATTTAGCACATAATAGCAACAATTTATCTTCCCATTCCCTTCTGTCTGTTATAGTCAAGAATGAAGAGATCGTAGACGGATTAGTTCTCTTTGTAATCTAATTCGGGTCAGTTCGATTTTGCTTCAGTTAATTTCGGTTCAGCTCAATGCTATAAGTGGCTAGTAAGTCGCGAAATTTGGTTATTCTGACGCAGTCTTCATCTACAATCAGATTCTCTTCCACAGGTGTGCTGGAAGCATAGTATATACAGTGTCCAGTTGAGAGGAGCGAATTCAGATCAGGGCAAACTTCAAAGGGAGCTAAATATGACCATCAGCTTCGGATTCCCGACACTTTAATTCGCTCGCAAATCGCGTGCGTAATCTTATCTATTTTGGAGAATTTCCTAAATTTCCAATTGCTGTATCAACCTCTTCAAATGCTGTTCAAACCGTTTACCATCCAAAGATTCTCGACAAGTTCAGGATCTGAGGTTTCTTACTGTTCAGCACCATGCTCCATGCTCTTCTAATGCCGTTACATATTGGAGGGCCTTCTTTCGAAGCACGGAAAGCTACTGAAGTCGTTAAAGTTACTTGGATCATCGGGATGGGGCTGTCAGTTTTACTGAGATGCTCAGCTCCCTCTCTCTTGAGCTATTCGTCCAAATGCACAACACACGTGCACTCTCTGTCTAATCGGCTGCCGTCCAGTTTCCTGTGCCTAAAAAACCATCGCGAATTAATCAATTCATTTGCGAGCCAATTTGTATAGTGGAAGTACCTGATATTTCTGTAAGGTGGCGGCGGTACGGTGCCATCGCATTACGGGTTCTGGAGTGGGGCGCGCTGAACGGTGTCACCTGCACGGCGCAATTCATCATCGTATTGTTTCAGATACAAACACGAAGTGGCAGCCAATCCACGCAGTCGCTCAAGCATCACTTTTATTACCTGCTGTTGCGACCATTTCACTGTCTTCTTCCCATACTTTTTTACGGAACAGGCATTTCTTTCGAAATTTGGCGACCTGCACGTTTGATACGTGACGCTTCTCTCACACTCGGCTGCTTGCTTCCCTTGCAAGGAAGTCACACCGAACTGTCTGCGCATCGTATTACAGACAAGTAGTCTGGTACACGGTGCACAGTGCTTTCTTGCGCACGAACGCAGAAGACTATAATTGGCTCCGGCTACAGACATCGCCCGGAAGATCTTCACTTACTCGTCGGAAAGAAGTAAATCGTCTGGATAAGCTAGTCGAAGGACTGTGCTTCGCTGCTGCCGCGCAGATATTTCTGGAAACAGTGCGAGTTTGTGGGAAGAACCATGGTGTGAGGACTATAACGTAGCAGGAGTCCATTCTGGGCCTGCCCGGCGTTGAACTGTAGCATTTTATAAGATCACTTTCTCTACATGACCGATTGGCCTTTACGGAGTGGGAAGGCTTACATGAGCTTACTGCTTAGTCGTTGCGAGTCTACCAATGTAAGATGTTTTTTGAGAACTCTTTCCGAGTATCGCGAAGTTAAATGTTGGGGGCTGTGTCCTATGTGTGTATGTGGTTGAGTGTATTTTTTTTTCCTCAAGCAACTCTGTTCGGAGGAGCTTTGGCTCCTTAGAACCTCGCCACGTTTCTTTTTTATGCGTTTTTTGCAGTAATGCAATGCAAAAAACGCATATTGACGAGAGGTTGTCTGTG